GCTGCGCCACCAGGGAGGGCCCGGTCACAGGAATTTTTATGTTAGGAGAACTTCTTTTTCCCTCGCTTTCATCTACCTATGACAGGTAGATGATGCCTCTGTAGCAGGATAACAAATTTAACTCACATGACAACTCTGAAGTGCAGAGAAAATTTGTGTATCTTTTCTCTTGTCTATGACTGGTTTGGATTTCCTTCTGAGTACCACCTGCTGGCTGACAGGGAAAAATATGCAGAAGAGTCCAATCCAATATTTAGTTTAGACTTTGAAAGAATATTGTTTTAAAAAATTGAGTAGTGGTCAGTTTATCAATTAAAAATACAGTCTCTCAGAATTCTTCTTCCTTCCAGCTGCTTTCATCTCTAAATGCTATGTGAAGTTGGATAGAAAAAAATTCTCTTTGTTCAAATTCTATCCCTTGCACGATGTTTGCTCTGGCTCTTCCATTTGTGAGATTATGCTCTTTGGCTGGTAGTTGGCTCCTTTGCCAGAGAAGCAGAAGCCCATGGCTCTCTGCAGTGGTTGCTGGGAAACTCAGCCTCCCCTCAGATCTTGCCTATGCTATAGACCTCTGAGTTTTTGGCCTGAGTACCACATATCCTCAATTTAGGATGATTGCAGGTTAGAGCATCCTGCTCAGTGACACCGGCCTGTGACAGTTCTACCTGGAAAGTTCTCCAGTTAAGCTTCCTGCTTTTTCTTGGTCTTGTCAATACTACATTAGCACCAAAGATAGACTATCAAAATTAAATATCAAGGTCTCTATTAGTTTAAGTATGCGCCAAGTTTATGTTGCCTCCTAGTCGGTATCAAGGCTCTGAGGTGAATTCCTGTCAGAGATCTATATACCAGAGACAAGAGCCTGTCATTTCCCCAGCTCTGTAGCCAGGGAAATGCTTACCTGGACTGTTATTCCCATCCTTTTGCCCTGGAGTAAGAACATGGATATTTCATTTCCCTTCTTGCATATTCACTCACCGTGCCCAAAAAATCCTTAGTGGTAGAGTCCTGCCAGGTAAGTGATTGATAAACTAGTAGAGAACGGGGATAGCAACATGTTGGCTTGGCTAGTAGTTTATTTTGCATGAAGAGAAATTCCTGCTTGTGCATTTCTGCCTGAACCCGTCTCCCCAACTCTATGTCAATGGATGATTTGCTTGGAATAGGGAAAGGATCTGCCATTCAGAATGGCAAAGCAGTGAAGGGCTGTGACATTTTTAAAGCACTTCCCTTATTATACATGTCTTTTTGCTGATGACTCTTCTAGTGAAGATGTAGGGAACAGTGGCCCATCTCTTCCAGTCTCCTCTCAAGATATTTAAATCTCCTGCTTAGCTTGATCAGGTGCTCTTCAACCTGGGGTCTGCGCATATCTGGGGCGAGGTGAAGGTTTTCAGAGGTTTAGTGCCCAGATAATTTAAAGGGAATAAATGTATGAATATGTAGACCAGCGCCTCTTGGGTATCCTTTCCACCTCAGTCGCCTCTCTCCTACTGTCTGCAAGGAAGGTTCTCCTAGCCATCTGCTGTCAGCAGGCTGTGCTGACAATAAGAAGACAGGGAAAGAATCTGGTGGAAGGAAGCCTCATTTTTGCTCTAAGCCCAGAGGACTTCCCCCCTGTTCTGTATTTTACAGATTTCTGCTAAGGGTGAGGTTTGATCCTCATTAGGGTGTCAGTGTTTGGAACTACCAAAGCAGATTAGGTTAGTGACACTGCTTCTTTTTCAGTGTAACTGAAAGTTTTCCAAAACCACCACATTTTTCATGAAACAATGGGTAAAGAGCCCACAGGAGGTGAAAGTATTTTTATGTTCTTTCTGCTTTTGTTTTATGTTACGGAATAAGGCATTTCCTGAAATATGATGAAATGCACATTTCATTTACAGTCAATCCCCCTCCCTTTTCAAAGTAGAAGATGTTGAACAAAGTCCTACCTTCTACTAAAAATAAACTTGGGATAAGACATCTTAAATGTCAGCTTATAAATGTGCTAAAGGACACATAGTTTTTCAAAATCATTTTAGAAGGCACAAATAAAAATGTTTAATTTGACTTAGCCAAACAGAGCATTCTTAGGTTTAGATTATTAGTCATAATCCAAGTTGAAATAGTGTTTGAGCAAGCGTAGCATAGTGAGATTAGTGGTTGATCTCAGAACATGAGCTATCAATATCAAGTATCTTAAAACCTGGAAAAATTATCTGCTCTCCTCCTAAAAAGTAACTGTTTCATAAGTCAGAGTGAATAATAAAAATATCAGGTGCTTTCACTTATAGAAGGTATATAGGGGTAACGAATAAAAGTTCAGAGAGAAAATAACTATTAAAAAACAACAAAGGCCCTCCCTGGTGGCGCAGCGGGTTAAGGCGCTGCACTGGGAAGCTGAAGCCACTTCCGCATGAGTTCGATCCCCACCTGCCCCGGAGATGACCGCATGGCACATGGCGAGGCAGACCTCTCCTGACCTGCCTGCTGCTCCCCTCAGCAGTGTACTTTGTCGATCTGCCTGTTCTGCTCCCCACTCTGTCTCTATGAAGCCTCTCGCCGCCTGAGCCTCTGGCCTGTACACCAGTTCTGTATGCACAAATAAATAATTCTTTAAAAAAAAATTAAAAGGCAACTATAAATCAGAGACATTCTGCAGAGGAGAGATCCAAATAAGGGTGGGAAGAGCACAAGGGACTGTGGTGATAGTACACAGGCGACTGATGGTGGGAATTACACACACACACACACACACACGTAAACATATATATATATATAATATGTTTATATATATATATAAATTATATATTTTTTAAAGTAACTAGTTCGGGGCTAGGTGGTGGGTCATGGGTGCTTTGTTGGCAGGCATGGTGTGGGGCTATCATTTGAAAAGGTATAAAGCTCTACCCTTGAAACATATCCACTGCTGCAAACCAACATTCTCTGTATCGAAGTAGTTGCAATCCCCAAAAACCAGTGTCATACAACATAAAATGTACAGCAGCCTGTCCTGCCCAGTTTTCCACTTACAGCCTCTCCAGTTTGCCACCACTGGGTGTGATAAGAAGTATTTGAAAAGAAAAGATGAAGGCACCAAAGAATATTTCAATAAAAGAAGAAAGCCAAGGAAATGAGAGTGTGAGCTCAGGAACATGGTGGTATGTGAACTCTTCACTTTCTGTCTTTCAGGTGGGATTAATCATGTACTTTGTGCGCACCCCCTGTGAGTGGGGGATGGATGCCATCTCAGCCACCCTGACATTCCTCTGGGAGGTAGTGGGGTATGTGGAGGGCCTCTTCTTCAAGGATCTGAAGCAGACGATGAAGAAAGAGCAGTGTGAGGTCAAGCTCCTGGTGACTGCTTCAATGCCAGGTAACCCATCCATGACATGGCTTTCAATGACATGACTTGTTTTTATTATTTTCAAGTCAGAAATAATCATTTCTTTCATGAAAAAATTTTCAGAGCTCTGATCCTAGTGACGAGCTCTTCAAAGAGATGCTGTTTAATACAATCTGAGGTAATAGAATAGGCCCTTTAAAAAAGCCCACACTTGCCAGATGAAAAGGGAGACATGAGAACGGAGGGCCATGTGAATCAGCGCTTGAAGGGCAGCCACGGTGGACGATCCATGGATCCATGAAGCCCACCCCAGAGCGCCAGCTGCGCTGGAGTCTCTTGGAGTGCAATTTTGACTCTGTTAGGAGAATATTGTTTGAATGGCATGGACCCCAGTCTTTTGTAAATCCAATGAGAGATGGCTTTATGAAAAAAAAATGGTAAAGGGAAAGGCAGGAAGGGAAACTGCAAAGGAACGTAAAACGCGATGTAAACGCTAACGGGGGCTCCTCTCCACTTTGGATAGCTTGTTTTTCTTTAAGATAAAGATTTTTGCGTACCCTTTATTCTTGTGCGATGACTGGAAAATGTGAGATGATATGCATATTGAGATAAAGGAAAAACAAAGTTATATATAGATAAAAACACAGGTCTGGGCAACAAAGAGGATTGTGTTAAAATCACAGCACTGTCATTTATGTAGAATTAGTTTTGGTTAAGAAACAATACATCATTTTTCAAACTCTCTTCATGTAGAACATAACAATATAATTTATACTTAATGTTCATAAAGAGCAAATGACTTTGCATATATAAAATATTGTTTTGTGGTTCAAAGTAAGCATTCAGTAAATGGCAGTGGGGTATTTATATATTGTGTACATTATCCAACCAAGTGATCAGATTTTTGTGTTTTTTTTTTTAAAGATTTATTTATTTGTATACAGAACTGGGGTACAGAACAGGCGAGAGGTGTAGGGACCGTGAGAGGATTCATCAGAGACAGGGTGGAGAGCAGAATAGGCAGACCAACGAAGTACACTGCTGAGGGGAGTAGCCGTCTGGTCAGGAGAGGTCTGCCGTGCCATATGCTTCAACTCCCTGGCTGGGAATCAAACTCTTGAAATGGCTGCTTCTAGCGTCATAGTGTTGTACTTTAACACATTGCGCCACCAGGGAAAGCCCTAAATGATCAGTTTTTATCATAGCAAAAAGAAATCACATTACCGCTAATAAACTTAAAAACAATTCATTAAAATATAAAGTAGATCGGGCCCTCCCTGGTAGCACAGAGGGTTAAAGCACAACACAAAGAAGCTTAAGCCACTTCCTCATGAGTTCGATTCCCGCCTGCCCTGGAGGAGATCCAGATGGCGCGGCAGACCTCTCCTGACCCTCCCGCTGCTCCCCTCAGCAGTGTACTTTGTCGATCTGTACCCCACTCTGTCTCTGGTGAATCCTCTCACCCTCTGCATCTCTGACCTGTACCCTAGTTCTGTACGAATAAATAAATAAATCTAAAATATATATACATATATATAAAGTAGATCATAATATTCATGAAGATTTGTACGTAATGAATGTAGAAAACAACTACTATCTTACCAGCCAAATTAGTATTTATCTCAATAGCCAAATAGAATATAAAAAATTTAAATTTAAACTGTATTTCAGGTACTTGCTTTTGTTTGTTATTTTTTCTTTTTATATGTTCTCCACTATTGTTGCCTGATCATTATATTTTAAATACAGGGATATATTATTAGTTGTAATGCTTAAGATTTGAATGCTTTTTTCATGAAATAAATGTTTATCTTTGTCTAAGTTACTTGTAAGTTGTTAGAAGTTTTTACTTACAAGTTTTTTTGTGTTTCCTTATTTGCAAGATGAAATTAACAGTACCCATATCATAAGGTTTAATATTTTCAAAATGCATGTAAAATCTTTTCAAGTGCCTTCATTATTTATTAAGTAAATATAATTCAAATATGTATTGGATTTCCTTGGTGGCTTAGGGGTTGTCTCAGCAATATCAGCTGCTTTTAATGACATACATTTTAATAATAATGCAATGGCACTTCAGTCACAAAAGCGCCTTATTAATAGTATGTTATTATTTGGGCCTTGAAATAAAAATTTTCTGTAGGAAAAATCAATTTATTATGGCTTATACCTTCCATAGGTACCAAAACCTTGGTAGTTCATGGACAGAATGAGTGTGATATCCCAACCCAGTTACCAGTCCATGAAGACACTCAGTTTGAAGCTCTGTTAAAGGTAAAGATAACTTTTGACAGGTAAAAATTTTTTTGCACGGTGCTTATGGCTACATCAACCATTTTAGAAATAAATTACTTTCTTCTCTATTCAAACGAATATGTACATTTGCATTTATTCATCTCTCCAGAATCTGCTCCACACTTGTGTATTTCCTTTTTTTTCTTGAATAATTTCCTCACGTTGAGTGACACTTAACACTTTATCTAACATAGACAAAGCCAAATATCTCTGTCAGTGACAGCGGTGGCGTGGAGTATTCCTGGCTCCCCTTAGAAAGCTGCACATTCCTGCTTCAGAGCTTCCTGCTGCCATCCCTGTGGCCCTGCATTTGGCCTCTGGAGTGCTGGGGCACCACCAGCTGTCAACTGATGGCCTTTCTGGTGGCATTTGAATAATCAGCCTCCTGCACTTATTTATAGTAGCTAAGATATGGAAACTATCTAAAAACGCAACATCAGCAAGTGGCTGAAAAAATTGGTGTATATACACACACACACACATACATATATATATATACATATCTATATATACTCAGTGGACTACTCCTCTGTGAACCAAAAAGATAAATTTATGCCATTTGCAGCACCATGAATGGATGGGTGGAGTGGAAGAGATTATGCCAACCCAAATAAGTCAGAAGAAGAAAGACTAATACTGGAAACTGTCCCTTGGACGTGGAATATAAAGAAACCAAACAAAGGGTCAGATAAAGCCAAACTTAAAAACTACCCCTTGAAAGCTGACTATAGCACTGAGGAATAGAAGGGATTAGGGTGTAGTGACAACAAATTGGGGAGGGGACCCAGTGGACTATGGTAGATGACTGTGGTGGAGGGTGCACTATGGAAATAATACATGAAAGGGGGCTCTCTACTCCTAAAATACAAACAATGTTGTAAACCAACACTGATTCAGTTAAAAAAAAAAAAACTAACTAAAATACTGCATTAATATTTTTTAAATAAAAATAATCCAGCCTTGCCAAGCATAGGCATTTGTTGGTTTTTGTTCTAAGGGTGTCTTTATTTCCATTGAAAGGGCTGTAAGTCTCTTGCAGGTCTCACCAGGCATCTCTGGAGGATCTCTAAGCCCAATCAAACTTCAACAAGCAGCCTTTCCATTGATCTACTGTATGTTAGGATCACATGAAGTGGGGTGATCTCAAACCCTGACTCCCCAACACCCAGTGGGACCTAAATCAAATGATCGGTCCATTAGTCTCAGCTTCGCTTTCCAGGGCTGTGGGGATGCTCATGAAGTTTAGAAAAGTTACTGACATGGAACGTGCTGAACTTGGCATGCAGTATTGAACAAAGGCTCAATGCATTGTTTCTGTAGTCATTAATGCTGTCGCCAAATGTGCTTCTCCCAATAGTGAAGCTGTTTCCAGATGCCACCATTTCCACAGGTCACTACACAGCCTGAATTATAATTGTTCATCTTTTGGCACTGGTAGAACAGACAGTTTATGTTATATTAACAGTCTTTTAAAGTTATTCTCTGTGTAGTTGTGTGTGTATGTGTATCTGTTTACATATATAATCTACATAAGCTATAAATACATACATATACAATCCTCACAAGAAGTTACCTTGTTTTTATGATCATGTGGTGTTTTTCAGCTTACTATCTGGCACATAATATGTTCTTAATAAGCACTTATTAAAATTTGTTGTTATTGTTTTAGGAGTGTCTAGAGTTTTTTAATATACCAGAATCTCAGTCGACACATTACTTTCTTATGGATAAACGATGGAACCTTATCCACTACAATAAGGTGAGCTCACAGCAACAACAGGTGTGTGGAATGGTAACAAGTGTCCAGCCCACTTTTCTTGAGACACTGGAAAACAGGGCAGCATAGTCATTTAGAGGCTAAGCATATGGCCGTTTGTCTCGCACCATCTTAACTGTGTGGCCACTTTACCTTTTGTATCTTTAAGTTTCCCTTTCTGTACAAATCAGCAGTGATAATAAGGTCCTTGTACTAGTTAAAAAAATTAAGCCAAGTCAAACCCTTAGTGACTCTAGGTTGGCCATATCAATTATCCGTATCTCTTTAGAACTTGATGTTGTTTACTTCCCTTTTCTATTAGGTTAATTGTGGCCACCCTTGTGTGCAGAATTTAGAAAGGATATTCATCCGAGTGGTTTAAAGCTTCCTGAGGAGAGGGCTTACCTTTCCTGGAAGTTGTAAAATTAGGAAGATAGAATAGTAAATATCAAAAGCAGTCGTGACTTGGTTTTGATATCAAATCAAATCAAACCAGTATCAAAACACACATAACTTTTGTTTTCTTAACTTTGGGTAAAGAAGGAATGAGATCAACAGTTTTACTTATTTGTATGTTTTATTTCTATTCATGGAATTCCACCACAGACCTATGTTCGGGATATTTATCCTTTCCGGAGGTCCGTGTCTCCACAGCTGAACCTGGTACACATGCATCCAGAGAAGGGACAGGAGCTCATTCAGAAGCAGGTGCCTGCCCACCTCGGTTTTATTTCATGAGTTTGTCATGTCATTGGGATAATCTGTAATTGTATTGCCAAACCTGAGAGTCTTTGATGCTGGAATGATCCTCTTAAAATGTGGCTGTATTGGCTCTGGTCAATGGACAGTTCCCTAAATCAGTAGCAAGGAATTTTTACAGTTGAATCACAATTGTAAAGGTCTGTGGAACTATCACTCAGACTATTTGCTATCATGGGTCATTGGTTGTAAACAATAGAAATCTTCTATTTACCTACTAGTTTCTAAATGTGGGCATGCACTTCTTTGTAAAAATAGGATTTGGAAGTACACATGATCAATGTAGTATGTCTGGGAAAAGCACTGAACTTTTTCTTTTGAAAAGGAACAGAGATTTGGACTCAGTTCCAGCTCTATCATTGACCCGTGATCTGACCTTGGACATGTTACTAACTTCCTTCCAAACATGAGCCAAATTAAACATTTGTACTTAGATTGAAGTTTGTAGAGCAGAATTACATTCACATATCACAAATCAAGTTCTGTAAGTTTAAGGAAATCCACTTTTTTGCGTGTGAAATATAAGTACACTATTTTAACAATTATATAATTTTAATGTGGATTGTGTGTTGCTGTTAATTTATTTCTATGTCAAAACAAGAATTTCTGGATATTTTACCATTTCAATTTTTCTGGATGTATCAAGAAGACCAGTTTGGCATCCAGCTATTCAGTAATACCTTCACAAAATGAATGAGAATGACATAGAATTACCACTTAATAATTAAAAGTTGAATTAAAATATTTAATGGCAAATTGGAATGATGGAAAATAAAAGGAGAAAAGTGAAACAAGAGAAAGAATATTCTCTTTGCCACAGAGAAAGAATACTTGACTCTTCCTATTCTGTTTGCTCTACAGAAGGAGGTGCCATGTAAACAAACTGCACTTAAGAATGCAGAAAATTCTTTCATCAAAAAATGAAAATGCTGATTTTTTAATAAGTATTGAAGTATAAGGCAAAACTATAAGCTATTAAATATACACAATATATAAAGCATTCCCCACCATAACAATCCAAGTCTTTAATTTTGGCAGCAAATAAATAAAACTATCATCAATAATGGCATTTTACTAGTGATTTTTACATCATGTTTAAGAACATATTTTAAAAGAATAGGTTTTATTCTTTTCTCACTCCAAATTAAAACTACATTTAATACATTTTAAATGTATACAGATACATTTTAAAGTATCCGTGTGTAATAATAAATGGGTGAAGTTTCTGGCTCTGAATTTTTTTACCTGACCACAGAAAATGGGCTCAGAGAAGGTAAATTAAGAGAAGGAACTAAGAACCCCCATATCCCTGCTATCTAAATTTAAAGGCACCAATCTAGATCAGCTTTGTCCTACAATAAAAATCTTCCTGGATCCCATTTTAACCTTTCTTTTAAGAAGCAAATCCAAGCTGACAAGGAAACAGTGTAGTGGAAATTGTGGAAGTTGTAGGAAATTCTGACTGGCTCCCCACTGGGAAAGATCTTCCATATTTTGACATCTAAACAAACAGGCTGTATTTCATATCCAAGACAAACAGGCTATATTTCATATCCAACTAGTCTTGATACTCATCCACGCCAGTTCCTTAACCTCATTAAGAAACACTCCTACATAACAGACAAAAGCAGGAAGCAAAGAGTCAATTAAATATTGTTTGCTCCTTATTTCATTTTGCACCTTTGAATTTTTTATCAACCCAGTTTGCCAGTAAATAGATTTTAGTTCAATTTTTTCACTCATTGTACTTTCAGAGTTGCTCTTTCCACTTTTCCTATCACCTGCTTTTGAATCCTGCCAGGTGTTCACCCGGAAGCTGGAGGAAGTTGGGAGAGTTTTGTTTCTCATCTCCCTAACCCAGAAGATCCCCACAGCCCACAAACAGTCGCACGTCTCCATGCTCCAGGAAGACCTCCTCCGGCTGCCTTCATTCCCAAGAAGTGCTATTGATGCCGAGTTTTCACTCTTCAGTGATCCTCAAGGTATCAAGAAGCAAGCATTTTCTCTCCTGGGCATCTTCTCATGACTGGTTTTGTCCTCAGCTGGAGAGCAGCTTAATCAGTAGACTGTTCTCTGGGCCAGTGTGTGTCAGCCCTGAGTGTGCAGCTGGGAGACTTGATAAAACTGACCTCCCCTTCACCCCTGAGGTCCAGGAACGGGCCCAGGAATTGACGTTTCTTTGGAAAAAAAAAAAAAAAAGATTTTTTTAGCCCTCCCTGGTGTTGCAGCAGTTTAAAGTGCAGCACATAAGCTAGACCAAACCACTTCAGTGCAAATTCAATACCCTGCCCTAGAGGTGACCCACATGGCACAGCAGACCTCTCCTGTGTCCCCACTGCTCCCCTCAGCAGTGTACTTCCAGACTCTGGTGAGTCCAGAGACAGAGTGGGGAGCAGAACAGGCAGACTAACCAAAATACACTGCTGAGGGGAGCAGCGGGCAAGACAGGAGAGGTCTGCTGTGCCATGTGAGTCAGCTCCCTGGCCGGGGATCGGATCGAACTTGTGCTGCAGTAGCTGCTGATAGCTTGATAGTGCTGAGACTTAACCCCTTGTGCCACTAAGGAGGCTTCATTTTTGTCTGGTATGTTCCAAGATGATGCTGGTGCTGCTCTGCCAGAGACCAAATTTTGGGACCACTGCTCTAAGGTGACCAGGGAGAGGAAGATGGATGGTGGTGTGGAGGGAGTGCTTGACTAAGTGACCAGCAGGTATTCATGTGAAAATCAAGAAGGGAAAACTAATCTACATACAGTTCCAGAAATTAGTATGCTGGTTGCCTCTGGGTAGGGAGAGTGAATTTCTTTGAAAGGAGAATGAGGGAATTTTCTGAGGGGATGAAAATAGTCTCTTTTGGTTGGAATGTTGGATATATGCAAATATATTTTTGTCAAAATTCATTGGACTCTGTGTTAGGATGTGTGCATTTTATCCTATCTATATTATACCTCTATGCAAATAAATAAACCAAGGCGATGAGAAGAGCTAAGGCTTTTTATTCAGAAGCTGCCACAGCAAGGGTGTCGGTGTTTTCATTGAGACATAGAGAAACAGCTGCCCATGGGGAAATCTCACTCGATTATTCAGCTATGAATTGGGGATGGTTATCTTAAATTGACATCCCCATGTTCAACATCTACATCCAGACTGTAGTAAAAAGGAGCAATTGCAAAAAGTCTGACTAGCTGTTAAAAGACCCGAGTCCTGCCATTTCTCACTGAAATAATTTATTCTCAAAGACTCAGCTTATTCAGCAGCAATGGGAGGCAAATGCCTGCCCTGTCTTGCCCAGAGAGTGCAATCAAAGAGGTGATGATGAAAGTCCTTTGAGGACTAGAAAGTGTTATGTGGTGCCAGCAATATTATGCTGGAAAGCATTTCTACAGATCTTCCCGTCCTGGCACTGGAACAAATGACCAAGGCCGTGCCCCAAGCTTCGAGCGTCCTCACACTGAGACAGGACTGGCGTGGGGGTAATTCTATCTCTGCTTTTGATGTTCTCACAGCTGGGAAGGAGCTGTTTGGACTCGACACTCTTCAGAAAAGCTTGTGGATCCAACTCCTGGAAGAGATGTTCCTGGGCATGCCGAGCGAGTTTCCCTGGGGAGATGAAATCATGCTTTTCCTCAATGTCTTTAATGGGGCGCTGATCCTGCACCCAGAAGACAGTGCACTGCTCAGGCAGTACGCTGCCACCGTCATCAACAGTGCTGTGCATTTCAACCACCTCTTCTCTCTCAGCGGCTACCAGTGGATCCTGCCCACCATGCTGCAGGTGCCTGCTCTTCCCTCCTAAGTAGAACATTGTTAGCCAGCCAACAGACTCCGTGCCCAGATATTTTAATAACAGCATTGTAGTCTTCTTTTTAAAATATTTATTTATTTGTGCATATAAGAGCTGGGATGTAGGCCACAATGCAAGAGGGCAGGGTTTGGTGAAAGGATTCACCAGAGACAGAATGGGGAGCAGAACCGGCAGACTGACTGAAATATACCAGCATTGTAGTCTTTTGTGCAACAGAAAGCACCATGCATAATACCCGCCCCTTCTTCCCCAACCCCCCCCAACCCCCGCAAATTTCCAAATCCTCCATTCTATACAGAGATTCTCCAGGCCTGATAGATGCGTGGGAGGTTGGTGATTCTCTAAGAGTAGTCTGTGGACCAACAATATCAGCCATCTCTCTCTTTCTTTAAGGTTTATTTATTTATGCATACAAGAACTGGGAAACAGGCCAGAGGGGTACGGGGGGAGGGGGTTCATAGGACTCTCCAGAGACAGAGTAGGGGAGCAGAGACAGAGTAGGTGGATCTGGTGAAATACACTACTGAGGGGAGCAGTGGGCGGGTCAGGAGAGGTCTGCTGCGCCATGTGGGTCCCCTCCCTGGCCGGGGATTGAACTAGTGTTGCACTGGCCTTGGACAGCTTCATAATACTGTGCTTTAATTTGTTGTGCTACCAGGGAAGGCTCAGTATCGGCCAACTCTTAAGTATTTGTTAGAAATGTCCACTCCTGAGCTCCTCCCCAGACCCACTGACTCAAAAACTCTGGAATTAGAACCTAGTAACCTATGTTTCCAACAAGACCTTTAGGTAGTTCAGATGCCATAGAAATCTTGAGTACAATTGTTTTTAATCAAATGGATGGCAAGTGTTCAGCTGTTTCCCCAAAGAGATTCTCTGGTCTCTGTCTGAATAGAGATTTTTATTGCCATTGAACTTGGTATGAAAGTGTTGGAGGAGGTGACTTTAGGAGGGATTAAATTAATGTATACATTGGGATAACCACCAATGTGCATACACGCATAGGAAGTGTAGAGTGAAGTTCAGATGGGATTTGGGGCTCATCCTAGCGCTTTATCTTTATGGAAGTTTTAATAAAAATTATGAAACTGAGCCTCCCTGGTAGCACAGCAGGTTAAAGTGCAGCATTGCAAGCTAGCCATAGCCACTTCAGTGTGAGTTTGATCCCTGCCCTGGAGGTGATCCACATGGCACAACAGACCTCTCCTGACCTCCCCTCAGCAGTTTACTTTGACAATCTGCCTATTCTGACTCTACTCTGTCTCTGGTGAATCCTCTCACAACCCCTGCATCTCTGGCCTGTACCCCAGATCTGTATGAATAAATAAATAAATCTTAAAAAATATTATGAATCTAAAACATGCTGTGCAAAGTGTTGTTTGTTCAAGTAATAGGGCAAAAAAAAAGTTTTTAGTTATAACCAAATTTCCTTGACCTATTTGCAAATACTTGAAATTTTCTCTATTTTTAGCATGTTTTTACAAATGACCAAAAAAATGCTCACTATCAAACCCAGAAGTTAACCTTTAAAGAAGAAAATAAAGATTACCTCTAATCTTCCCTCTTATATAACCATTGTTTACTCTTTTTGAAATTCCTGATACAATCCTACCTTTGTTTTTTAAACAAAAATTGGATCATACCATACATCCCTGTTTGTTACCTACATTTTTCATAAAATGCTAGGGGTATTATAGATACTTTTACATATAAATGTATTTTGCTTTAGAACATCTTTATTTTTTATGATTTATTTATGCATACAAGAGGCCAGAGGTTTGGGGGTTGAAAGGATTCACCAGAGACAGTGGGGAGCAGAGCATATAGAGCATATGGATCTGGTGAAATACACTGCTGAGGGGAGCAGCAGGCAAGACTGGAGAGGTCTGCCTGGCCATGTGGGTCAGCTCCCTGGCTGGGGATTGAACTCATGCTGCAGTGGCTGCTGATAGCCTCATAGTGCTGAGACATAACCCCTTGAGGCACTAGGTAGGCCCTCTTAAGCATCATTTTTAAAAACTGCTCTGTACCATAATTCACATAACAACCCTCAGTTTATAAACAATATCTTTCAGGTTTTCTATATAAGCAAACTTGCAAGAGCCACTCTTGTTCATACATTTTTGTGAATTTATTCAAGTTGTTTCTTAAGCTCAATTCCTAGTCAAACTTTCTGGGGAAAAGCATGTTTATATTTTTATGTATATTACCAAATCTCTTTCAAGAAAGATTATCCCCATGGTGCAACAGGTTAGGGCCCAACTGCAAACGCCTGCAGCTGCTTCAGTGCCGGTTCAATCCCTGCCTGGGAGCTGACCCACATGGTACAACAGACCTCTCCTGTCTCACCTGCTGCTCCCCTCAGCAGTGTACTTTGTCGATCTACTTGTTCAGACCCCCCCACTGTCTCTGTTGAATCCTCTCACCACACCTGCAGCTCTGGCCTGTACCCCAGTTCTGAATGCAAAAATAAATAAATCTTTTTTAAAAATCTTTATTAAAAAAAAGAAAGAGGCCCTCCCTGGTGGCGCAGCGGGTTAAAGCACATCACTGAGAATCTAAAGCCGCTTCCGCATGAGTTCGATTCCCGCCTGCCCCGGAGGTGACCACATGGCGTGGCAGACCTCTCCTGACCCGCCCGCTGCTCCCCTCAGCAGTGTACTTCGTCGATCTGCCTGTTCTGCTCCCCACTCTGTCTCTGGTGAATCCTCTCACCCTCCGCATCTCTGGCCTGTACCCCAGTTCTGTATGAATAAATAAATAAATCTTTAAAAAAAAAGAAAGAAAGAAAGAAAGATTATGCCCTGGAGGGGATTGTTACATTCCCTTCCAGAAGTTTTAAAATATAAGTCATCCCCTTCCCATGATGGCTATGAGTTATTAAAAGTAAACTTAAATCTGAGGGATCATTAAGACCTTTTTCTAAACCTGTGGCATTCCCATAGGTATACTCGGATTACGAAAGCAATCCCCAGCTGCGCAGAGCCATCGAATTCGCCTGCCACCAGTTCTACATCCTACACCGGAAGCCGTTTGTGCTCCAGCTGTTTGCTAGTGTGGCCCCTCTCCTGGAGTTTCCTGTGAGTAAGCTCTATGGAAATTAACAAAACCAACAAAATGAGAAAAGCAATACTTTTTGAGTTTGCTCCAGCAAAGGAATCCCATGAGTAGTAAGCAGAGTTTCAAAGACAGAGGAGTGACAGAATTGTATAGTTATAAAAAAAGAGAGAGAGTTCCAAGTGTGCCTTCATTGGAGGCTGTTGACCAATGTGGGGAGGAGGTGTTTCTAAGCAGGCTAGCTAGAAGCAGAGAATCATGGGTGATTGGGGAGGGTACATATTTGCTTTCTCTGATGAGTCTTAAGTTTGAAGGAAGGTAAAGAAATGGGGAAGCTGTTAATAACCCATCAATTCCTGGCCATTTGGGGGTCACTTGTTACAGGAGTTACTGCTTGGTTTTTCAGTAGTTATAGCAGATTGGCCTCCTGGGCTGGTTACTGTGGACAATGGGTCAGTTACCAGGGCAGGTTACAGAATTCTATTCTTAAATATTGTCTGGCCACTTTCCATTTGTATAATCAGTCTCTCAGCTCTTTTTTTTTTTCAACAAAATGGAATATGAATAAACCATAATTAATTTCTCTTTGAGCTCTTCAACTCTCATTTACATCCCCTAGGATATAAATGGAGCAAATGTCTAGTATTTTATTTTTTTAAGATTTTATTTATGCATACAAGAACTGGGGTACAGACCAGAGGTGCAGTGAGTGAGAGGACTCCCTAGAGACAGAGTCGGGAACAGAACAAGCAGATTGATGGAAATATACTGCTGAGGTGAGCAGGAGGCAAGACAGGAGAAGTCTGCTGTGCCATGTGGGTCACCTCCCTGGTCAGGGATTGACTGTGGATCACTTCATAGTGCTGAGTCTAAGCCAAGTCTAACCCATTGCAGCCAACACGGAGGGGCCTGTCCAGTATTTTATATTCAATAAATAAAGTGGTGGAATGCAGAAAATGATAAAGTAAATAATTCCAAATTCTCATTCTTTCTGTCTCTCTCTCCCTGCATTGTTTTTCTTTTCCTTCAGAGAATGTATACCATATCATATTTTTTTTCACTAATATTGTCTCCATCACATCCCACAATAGAATCTAAGCTCCTGTAGAGCAAGATCTTTGTCAGCTGGTTGTTTTCATTTGTTTTGCTTATATGTTTTTTTGGGGGTTGGGGTGTTATTTATGCTTTGCTATACTGTCTATGCACAGAATGATGTCTAGAATATAGTAAGAATTTAATAAGGATTTGTTATTTTAATGGTGAAAGCCATCACTTAAAGTCAAAACCATTTTAGATAGGCTTGAGATGACAGGTATCTCCATTTCAGTGATATATTATGAGATAGCATGAATAAAATTGCCAGAGTTATTAAAATAAGCATCTGTTTCCTCAAACATAAAGTATTCAACTAATATAGTAGGGAAATTTCATTTGTTCCCAAAGTCCTACTATTGTAGACTAAACACTGGCATGAATCCTTTTGTCATATCACGTGGTGCTATTTTTTAAAGATTTATTTATTTATTCATACAGAACTGGGATACAGGCCAAAGGTGCAGGGCGGTGAGAGCATTCATCAGAGACTGAGTGGGGAGCAGAACAGGCAGATTGACAAAGTACACTGCTGAGGGGAGCAGCGGGCGGGTCAGGAGAGGTCTGCTGTGCCATGTGGATCACCTCCAGGTTGGGGATCAAACTCACGCTGAAGTGACTTTAGCTTTTTAGTGCTGTGCTTTAACCCACTGCACCACCAGGGAGGACCATCACATAGTGCTATTTTTTTATGAATGTCCACATGTATCTCTTTGTACCTGATGAGCATTTAAAAGGTTGCTTCAATAGATCAGATGATGCACTCCAAATCACACAGCTGCACTGCTGGAAGTAGAATTTAAAAGTCGAATACCACATTGATGTTCTTGCTATTGGTGGTAGTATTTGTAAATTTTTGAATTTCTGATTGAATGAGATTATTACTAAGTAGGTATCAGTAAACTAAAATTCTCTTTCCTCATACAGGATGCTGCCAATAATGGGCCCAGCAAAGGTGTGTCAGCTCAGTGCTTGTTTGACTTACTGCAGTCCCTGGAGGGAGAGACCACAGACATATTGGACATCTTAGAGTTGGTCAAAGCTGAGAAGCCTCTTAAATCCTTAGGTAAGAGCACAGTGTGCCCTGATACTCTTTTGCTCTTTATAATTATTTTTAAATAACTGTACTTGACTATTTTTTATTTAATAAAATCAGCTCAATAAATGCAACCCTGGTATAAATTGGATGCGTACCTTTTCCTATCTCTAGTCAACTTCTGGCAAGCCTTAAAGGCTAAGGAAATTTCTGCCATGAAAACTGCATTTAAAGGTTACTTAGAGCAATGCTTGAGTTCTGTAGTTTTCAGAAAATTGGGACTTCCTGGGCAAATGTAGGTGAATAACCCTTCAAAAATCATTGTTTATTATCATGGAATGTTTAGGGCTAAAGGGGATTCAAAGATAACAGAAACATCTGTGCTTCAACTTAGACATCAAAATGCCCTTTGATAGCTTCTAGTAGGTGAGAGTTTCAAAAACTGTTCCCTAAGTAAAGCTTTCTCATTTTTGATGCATTTAGTCAAAGCCAAAAACAAAATTTGCAGTCTTTTTAAGGTGAAGACATTAATAAAAGCTCACATTTTAGAAAAGAAGTTTGATGAAAAAATGGCTGCAAAATGCCACTGGAAAGAGAATGTTAGGAGTTAGAAGTTCTTCCTTGTGGCTGGTAGAATCCACTCTGATTTTATGCTTTGATCTTCTGTCCCCAAAGATTTCTGCTATGGAAATGAGGACCTGACGTTCTCTATCAGTGAGGCCATTAAACTCTGTGTGACCGTGGTGGCATATGCTCCGGAGTCATTCAGAAGGTAACTGCAGTCTTTAACCCTAGCCTCACACTAAGTCAATTTACCAAAATACAAGTTTTTTAATGAATGAAGGTTAGGTTTGCTAATAACAGTCCATAATAGACTGGCAAGGAAGTTTTCAAGCTCTCTTAATTTTAAGAAATTTGTCACAGCAGAGGTTCTAGAAAATTAATGTCATTAAATTTAAAATCCTCTGATGTGAAATTTGGGTGGCAACTTAGTGGCTTAGTTCTGCTTAGGAAATACTGATTTTGCATATAATGCAAATTAATAGCATAATTTATATTTACATTTACCTACTTAGTTATCCTTTCTGTTGTTCTCTATCCCTGAACTGTCTCTAAGTGAATTTTTTTTCCTTATGCTTAATTAACTGTCCTGAATACTTCTTTTAGTACAGGTCTGCTTGTAACCAATTCTATTATTTGCTAAGAAT